CGAGCTCTGGCCTGAAGCAGTGGAGGGGTGGGTCCTGCAGGGGGCCGTGTCTGAGCTCCAGGACAGACCGCAGGAGGGGTGGGGGGAGGAGGTCAGAGAGCAAGAGCAACAAAGGGAAGTGAGAATGGTGCAGGGGTGAGGGACAGCAGCCCCCCTCAACCCACCAGGATCCAGCTGCCCAGGGGAGGGGAGGAGCGGGGACAGAGCAGGGGTCCGCCAAGGGTGCGGGGAGGAACAGCACCAGCACCGGATCAGCCTGGCCTCCACTCCTGTGGGACAAGGCGGGGACAGCCGCGGGGCCCACCCAGGCGAAAGCAAAGCCCGAGAACCGGCAGCTGGCACATCCTGCCCACTCCTGACCCAGCGCGGCCTTCCTGTCCCCTGACCACAGGCCACCGAGCTCCCTAAGCCCCGCCCTGCCCGCTCCCCTGTGGGCGCCCTGCCAGTCCGAGGCTCCTCCCCCCCAGGAACTGTTTCCCTCCTCTCCCCCCCCCCCCCCCCGCCCGGCATTGGGGCCACACCCGACAGTGCTCAGGGCTCACTCCTGGCAGTGCAGGGGGGACCAGATGTGGTGGGGAGGGGGTCAGACGTGATCCGTGATCCCTGTCCCCTGCACCCCTCCCCTGCACACAGCCCCTGCAGGCGGCTCGGGCCTCTCTCCCACCTCCTGGGACAGCCCCCAGGTCCCTGGAGGGAGGCCTGCATTGGCGCCAGGCGAACCCCTCAAGGAAGACACTGCCTCCCAAAAAGTGGGCTGCCCTTCCCTGTGATCCTGACTCCTGTGAGCACCCCCGGGGGGAAATGAGGGCTGCCAGTGTCCCCGGTCCAGGAGCGACAAGGGTAGCGGGCAGCTGTGGGGTGTAACATGCCCGGGACACGGGGGACAGGCCTGGGGACGCCCACCCCCCACACACACCACCAGGCAGGTCACACCTCCCCCCACACCCGCCCACAGGGCCTACACCACCCCGGTAAGGCAGACAATTTCGCTTCCCCTGCCGGGAAGACAACCCCGCGGCCACAAGAGACTGTCTGAGAGCCCTAGACCCGCTTCCCACCAGAACCCTGCTCCACAGACCCCCAGACGCAAGGGCCCATGCCAGGCTCTGAGGAAACCACCCACAAACCCTTCTCCAGGCAGGGTAGCCCACTGGGGAGCTGGCAGCCCCTGGCACCTGGTGACCCCTGGCACCCGGTGACCCCTGGTACTCGGTGACCCCTGGCACCAGGCCCCAGGGAGATGCCAAGGCTCTCAGCGCTAAAATCACGCAAGCCAGTGCAGACAAGCGTGGACAAGCTCGGACAAGCACGTGTGCTGAGAGAGGTGAGTAGCCCTGACTCCAGGCTCGGAGCAGGCAGGGGAGGGCTGGGGAGAGAACAAGGGGGGCCCCAGGGAGGCCTCAGGATGGGGGGTTCTCTTTCCTCCCCTCCTCATTCTCAGCACAGTGTCATCTGCACATGAAAGAAGGCCTTCCAAGGGGCCAAAGAAACCCCATTTTCTTTTCATCTATTTTAGTTTTGGGACTATGCCTGGCTTTACACCTGGCTCTGCCTTCAGGGATCACACCTGGCTGGGCTGGAGGGACTGGGGAGGACCATAAGGGAATCCAGCGATCAAACCCAGGCCGGACACAGGCAAAGCAAGCACCCTCCCCTGCCCCCAGGGTACTGTCAACAACCAGTCAGTGACAGAGTCCCTCCCTGGAGAGGGTCAGTCCGACCAGGATGGTTAGCCGGAAGGGGGCCTCAGACCCCTGCCAGCCCGGCCTCCCCAGGGCCGTGCCCAGCCCTCCCCTCCCAAGGCCCTTCACACTCCTCTGCATTTAGGGGTCCGCTAGCCTAGGACGGTCCATTGCTGTTATAAAATCAACGTGTCCATCTATGGCCTCCAATGGCCACAGCAGCATCCCTGGGGGCAGCCCCAGGGCCTCAGCACCACTGGGCCTGACCCGGTGGGCCTCCAGCACAGCAGCCCCACATCTGAGGGTGTGAGCACTCACGGGCCACCGGCGGATCACTGCCAGGAAGTGACCCTGGGCACTGTAAGCATCACTTGGGAGGCAGCCCCTCCCAAATCAAGGGACAGGGAATACGGATGCGTGCGGCTCAGTGGTAAAGCCCAGGTCTTAGCTGGGTGAGACCTTGGGCTGACCCCCAGCACCCCACCGCCCTCCTCCAGCACCAGAGACGGTGACTCCCATAACAATAACAAGTATTTTTTATTGGCGATGCCTGGGATCCTGGGTGCAAAGCACACATTCTACCATGGAAGCACATCCCTGACTCAATATATCATCTGAACCCAGCAGCAGGAAAAGCAGCTAGAGAGGTAGTAGCCAGAGGGGTCAGAGAGCTTGCTTGTCTTGCTTGAGGCCCCGAGTTCGATTCCCAGGGCCTCTCACATACTGCTGGTGTGGCCCTAGTACCCCACACACCACAGGGCCTGATCACATGCCATCTGCTACTCTAACCAGTGCCTGGCACCGGCCCTCAGTCCCCCAGCACTGCTGGGGCATGGGATTTAAAAAAAACAAAAACAAAAAACAGGAAAAGTCCATGTAAAGTCACCCGCTCAGGAAGGAATGACACAATTCTTAATCAGTTTGGAACTTGGCCACAACTTCAAAGGATTAAAAAAAAAAAAAGGCCCTGAGGTTCAGGAGAATTTTGCTTTTCTGTTTTCTGTCTTAAAAACTTCACAATGAACTCCTGGCACGGAGAGATTGTGGACATCAGGCTGGGCTGATTCCAGATTTGTGGCTTGTCCACACGCCCCCTCTAAGTCTCCAGCAAGTCTTTAAACTTAAAGCCATTAGAGGGCTGGGGGCTGGAGAAAGTGCGCAGCGGGGAGGGCGCTGGCCTTGCATGAAGAAACACACGAACGTCCTGTGTGCACACAGACACGAAGCGACAGACACACCCACACATGCACACACGGACACAGAGAGAGGCACTGACACACTCTTCCAGTGGAAAATTCAGGTAAGTTTGGTGGTGGGGGGTGGGGTGATAGCACAGCAGGGAGGGAATTTGCCTTGCACACAGTCAACCTGGGTTCAATCCCCGGCATCCCACATGGTCCCCCAAGCAACGCCAGGAGTAGTTCCTGAGTGCAGAACCAGGAGTAACCCCTGCTAACGGCAAAAAAAAAAAAAAGCAAATTCTGGGGCTGGAGGACAGTGAGTGGGTTGGGCATTTATTTGCCTTGCATGCAGCCGGCCCAGGTTCAATCCCCAGCACCCGCTATAGTCCCCTGAGCCCACCAGGAGGAATTCCAGAGTGCAGAGCCAGGAGGAAGCCCTGAGCATCTCCATTGTGACCCCAAAACAAAGCCAGAGAGGGCCAGAGTAGAAACAGCTGCTGGAAACAGAGCAAACCTTCTCCATGCTCTGATAGGAGAGTTCACAGAAAGTTGGGGGATCACAACAGAATATCCCTGAGAAGACCCTCGAGAAGACCCTCACCTGCTGGCAGCAGGAACCACGAACCCAATGCCCAGCCAGGCCCCCCAAGGCGCTCGGCCCCTCTGCTTGGCTGCGCTGAGGAAAAGCTTCTTACCCTTCCACCGAAGTTCTCAAACAGAGAATCAGCTTCTCTCAGAAAGGAAAAATGTCATTTAGGAAGAGGGATGGGAGCAAAAGAGTATGTGAGAAGGGGAACAGGGCCTTAAAGGTAGCAGCGGACGAATACAGCCAAAGGGGGCCTCGCTGTTTTCAAGAGCAAACTTCCTCTTTCTCACCCATAATGCCAAGAGCCGGAAAATGTGCAGGGCATGTGGCCAACCCGGGTTCAAGCCTCAGCATCCCACACGGTCCCCCAAGTGCAGCCAGGAGTGATCCCTGAGCGCAGAGCCCTGCGCACCGCTGGGTGTGGCCCCCAAACAAACAAACAACAACAACAACAACAAAAGGGAAAGAAAGAAGAGAAAAAATGTGCAGGCACCCGCAGCAGAGTTCCAGCCCGCAAAGGGCCCTAGAACACGTCAAACTCAAGATCAACTTCTGAATCAAGAGCCGGAACAGTGGCCCTCTGGGCACAGAAGGCTGAAGACCCCACACTGAAGAATGGGTTGGAGGCAGCGCTGGTGAAAAATCAATGGGGAGCAGTCGTGCAGGGAACCCTGCTGGGCTTCAGTGCTCTGGCACTCGGTGGGGCATGCACACAGCTGGGGGAATCCCAGGGAGTGAGGTCTCAACTCCAACCCCGGGAGACAGGAAGGGAGGAGCAAAGAAAGCACCTGCAGGGGTGGGGGGTGCCAGACCTCAGGACCAGAGCTGGGAGGTGAGAGGATGGGGCACACCCCGGACTGACGTCTCCACCACGTCAAAAGTGGATTCTGTGAGCCATCCAGTCGGGCCCACTGGCCCCCTTGAACTTCTTCACACCCAAGGACCACACCTGTCTGCAGTGGAGGGAAATGACAACCCGGGCGGTGACCCTCCCGCAGCTGGGGGAAAACCCCTCCCCGGGGCTGGAGCGACGGCACAGCCGGGAGGGCCCTTGCCCTGCACACAACAGCCCACCGGGTTTCGATCCCTGCGTCCCATCGGGTCCTCCCGGCCGGCCCAGAGTGATCCCTGGGCATCATCGCCGGGTGCAGGAAGAAAGCAAACCACGCCAGGGCGCCTGGCGCGGGGTCTGTCCGGTGGGTGGGGGTGGACCACCGGCCCCGGCCCCGGCTTACTCCTCTCTCGCCTCCCGAACGCGTCCCCGCGCGCGCGCGCTCCCGGGCTCCCGGGCACCTGCCACCGAGGCCGCGCCCCTGCGCGGTGGGCGACGGGGCGCTGCCCACCCCGCCCCTCGACCCTCCCGGGGCGCCGGCCCTGCGGGTCGGCGGGGAAAACGCGGCCACGCGGGGGTGGGGGCGGCGGGCGGGGCGCGCGCGGCGCCGAGCCGGGCCGGGCCCCGGGGAAGCGGCCCACGTGGCCGGCGCCCGGGAGCGGCGGGTCCCGCGGCGCCGCGCCCCCCGCGCCCCCCCGCGCCCCCCGCGCGCGCCTCACCAGCGGTAGCAGCCGTCCGAGGCCTCCAGGGTGAAGTTCACGCGCGTGGCCCGCGTGAAGGGCAGCAGCACCTTGGGGATGTTGAGCTTGGCCGCCGCGGCCACGGGCCCCGGCGCGGGCAGCGCGGGCAGCGCCACCAGCAGCAGCAGCAGCGGCAGCGGCAGCCGCGGCCACCGCCGCCGCCGCCGTCGCCGCCGCCGCCAGCCCAGCGCCGTCATCCTCGCGCCGCGTCACCTCCGGCGACCCGGCGCGCCCGGTCCCGCGCGCGCCCCCGCCGCCCGTGCCCGCGCGCGCGCTCCCGGCGGCAGGTGGCGCGCGGCGGGCGGGGCGGGGCGGGGCGAGCGCGGCGGGCGGGGCGGGGCGGGGCGGCGCTTCCTGGGCCCCGAGCGGGCGCTCGGCCAGGCGGGTCGGGGTGCGCGCCCCGCTCCCCGCGCGCTTGGCGGGCGTCACGGCCCGAGCCCGCCTTGCAGGGCGCGCGGGCGCTTCTCGCTCCCGGGCGGGAGCGGGGAGGCGGGGCGACCGGCCGGGGTGCGGGGGGGAACAGGCGCCCGGGAAACGGGGGGCGCGGGCACCCCTGGGCGCCTCCTCCCCCTCCTCCCCGAGCCCGGCCCGGGAACGGACGATGGCGCACGGAGGGTTCTGGGCGCTTCCTGCCGCTCCGCAGCGTCTTGGGGGGCAGAGGGAGGGGGAGCCTTTCCAGGAGGGAACAGGTGGCGTGGCCCCCCAAGGCCCCTCGGCCGAGAGGGGCAGCGGCCGGCGTCTTCCGGGAGCCAAGGGGGGAAGTGGCCCCAAGGGGCAGGATTAGGGCGCCCTGGCCGCGCCGCGCCCCGCCCCACCCCGGGCGCACCTGCCCGCGGGGACCGCGGCTCCCCGGCCGGGCACTCGCGCGCTCTCTGTGGGAACTGCGAGCGTGAGCGGGCGCCCGCGCCTCCAAACGGTCCTGGGGGCGGGGCAGGGGCGGGGGGACCGCCGAGGCCCCGGGGAGAGGGCGCCCACCTCCGGAAGAGGCGCCCGGGTGCAGAGCTGGAACCCCGCGGCTGCTGGCTGCGCGCCCGGGGTGGGAGTGGGGGTGGGGGATGGGGGGAGTGGTGCCCTCGGGATGCAGACGCGGGCCCGCGACGCCCACCCCAGACTAACCCTTAGGACCTTGGGAACGCGATGGGGGCTTTGGGGAGGGGTCAGTCTCACAGCCTGAAGCCCCCCCCCCCCACCAGGAAATGCCTGCGATTGGGGAGACCTCTAACGACCAGAGCTGGAGCTGGTGGAGCCCAAGGGTGGGGATTTCCCGGGAGTTGGCGGGGGGTGCTGGGTCAGGTATGTTCTGGGGTGTTCTGTCTGGAAGCAGAGGGGCGTATGGAGCAGGGGATAGGTGAGCCTGTCCCTTCGCACTTTACTTACTGTGGGCCTGCTAGCTTTCAGTGGTGGTGAGCCCCTCACCTCCAGAGACCCTTCCCCATTTCTCCATGATTATTCACCCAGAGAAACGGTATGCATTTCAAGCACATTAATATAGGAGCCCAGAAATGGAGGTATAATCCATCTTGCTCCACTTCCACCCACTTGGGCCTTGCCAGGCAGGTAAATAAATGCCAGGAACCCTCAAGTCTATTAGGATCATGCGTCCCCGGGGCCTCATCTTTCCAGATTTTTGGATTACTGAGAAATTGGGAACTGCTGGGCTTTTGGTGGTGGTTTCTCACAGCTGGGAGCAAGCCAGGGCCTAGTGAGAGCAAGGCACAGGTTCTGTGCTCTGAGCGCAGTAACAAGATTTTTTTTTTTTAATTTTTATTAGTGAAACACCATGAGGTACAGTTGTGGACTTACAAATTTTTGTGCTTGGGTTTCAGTTATACAATGATTGAGTACCCATCCCTCCACCAGTGTTCATTCTCCACCACCACGGATCCCAGTATCCTTCCCACTTCCATCCCCCCCATTCTCTCCGCCTCTGTGGCAGGGCATTCTTTTTTGTTCTCTCTCTCCTTTTGAGTGCTGTGGTTTGCAAAAGAGGCATTGACTGGCAATCATGTTCGGTCAATAGTCTACTTTCAGCATGCATCTCACATCCTGGGAGGATCCTCCCAACACCCTTTATTTGGTGCTCCCTTCTCTATCTGAGCTGCCTTTTCCTCTAGCATGTGCGGCTGGCCTCCAAGCCATGGAGCGAAACTCCTGGTACTTATCTTGGCTATTCTTGGGTGTTAGTCTCCTATTTAGTAACAAGATTTTTAGGTGAAACTTTATTATAAATGATATTAATTCAGGTGTGTGTGTGTGTGTGTGTGTGTGTGTGTGTGTGCGCGCGCGCACGTGCATGTTTAATTTCACTCACAACATTCTTGAGAAAGTAGATTTATACAAATGATGGGCTGGAGCAATAGTACAGTGGGGAGGGCATTTGCCTTACACACAGCCAACCCGGGTTTGATCCCCAAGACTCCATATGGCCCCAGCAGCACCGCCAGGAGTGACTCCTGAGCGCAGAGCTAGGAGTGAACCCTGAGCACCACCATCTATAGCCCCAAATAAAAAAAAAAAAAAACAAGGATTACAGAAAGGGCTGGAGCAATAGCACAGTGGGTAGGGCGTTTGCCTCGCACACAACCAATCGGAGTTCGATTCCTCTGACCCTCTTGGAGAGCCCGGCAAGCTACCGAGAGTATCTCACCCGCACGGCAAAGCCTAGCAAGCTACCCATGACGTATATGATATGCCAAACACAGTAACAACAAGTCTCACAATCGAGATGTTACTGGTGCCCGCTCGAGCAAATGGATGAACAACGGGAGGACAGTGCTACAGAAAGGGCAGAGGAGTGATTGCCACCAGCAGCACCGTGCCAGGATGGTGGAGGATCAGCGGCTCTCAAAGGACCAGTGAACGGTCCCACCTCGCTGGGTTGCGTCAGGACTCTCCATGTGCTCGCATCCATTTCCGGGGTGCCATACTGTGCCAGGATTTTGCCAGATGTGGCCGCTGGGGGGGAAATGGGAAAGTTGCATGGGACCCTCTGTTTCATCTCATGTCTATTTGCCAAAACATGCGAACCATAATTATCTCTCCAAAAAGGTTTAATTACGCAATTAAAAAAACTTACTAACAGGCCTGACAAGTCGCCTCAGAGAGGCCAGAGAGAGCCAGCAGTTACATGCCTGTGGCAACCGTTTTCAGTTCCCGGCACCGCACAGTCCCCTGGGCATCATGGGGTCATCCCTGGAGCCCCCAAGGATCCACTTGGGGCCCAAGTATCCCCAGCACCACCTCCTCAGGCCCTCGTTTTGGCTGAGGGAAAGGCAGCCTTGCAACCACCCACACGCTTAATGGAGGCAAATTCCCCCACTGGAAACAAGCAGTGAAAAACAAACAGTGGGGCCGAAGCAATAGTTCAGTGGGGAAGGTGTTTGCCTTGCATGCAGCAGATCAGAGTTCGATCTCCATCATCCCATATGGTCCCCGAGCACTTTCAGCTGTAAGCCCTGAGTATCACTGGATGTGCCCTCACCTCCCCCCCAAAAAAACAAACAGTGGATAAAACAATTTTCTTGTTTGCAACGTTCCTCTTTATGGGCTGGAGTGATAGCACAGCGGTAGGGCATATTTGCCTTGCGCGCGGCCAGCCTGACCGAGCCAGGTTCGATTCCTTCGCCCCTCTCGGAGAGCCTGGCAAGCTACCCAGAGTGTTCAATATGCCAAACACAGTAACAAGAAGTCTCACAATGGAGACGTTACTGGGCCCGCTCGAGCAAATCGATGAACAACAGGAGGACAGTGAGTGTTCCTCTTTACGTTATCCTTAAACCTGTTCCTCCCTCTTTTCTCTCCCTACTTCAGGAGCCTGAAGCTGCTAAGAGATAACGGTTCTTCTGCTGGGGCCCCACAGTGGGGCGTCCACGTGGCCCCCCATTCCCTGCGGGGTGTATTTCCCCTTCCTGCCATGGGATCCCCTCCCTGAATGGCAAGAACTTAATCTAAAATTCAATGGACAGTGGCCTGGACACGCGGCCTTAATAAGCAGAGCCCCCGCAGATGGCAGAGACCCTTCCCTGTGTAAAAAAAAGATGGTCCACCTGAGAAATGAAACGAGCTAACGAAGCGTTTCCGGCGACTCCTGTCAGTGCTTCTCAATCTCAAACCATTTCCTGCCGCCCTGAAGAAACCTTCTAGACGGGCGGGCGCACCACACAGGCAGGTCCCCACATTTCCTCCTTGTCTTTGAATTTGAGTGTTTACATTTGCTTAAGAAGAAAGTGTGGCCACGGCTGTAAATAGAGACCAACATCAGTTGCCAAAATAGAAATTCCGTAAAGTAAATACTGTGAAACGAAGGGACGCCATGGTAGTAGGACCAGACTCTTTGGCACCTGGCTGTCCCACTAGTGACCATGAGGCCTGGCTGCTGGCTTGCACACTTCTCTTCGGGCATGTAAAGATTGTCAGGTTTAGGGGCTGGAGAGATAGCACAGCGGGTAGGGCGTTTGCCTTGCACGCGGCCAACCCGGGTTCAACTCCCAGCATCCCATATGGTCCCCTGAGCACCGCCAGGAGTAACCCCTGAGTGCAGAGCCAGGAATAACCCCTGTGTATCGCCGGGTGTGACCCAAAAAGCAAAAAAAAGAAAGATTGTCAGATTTACACTCAATTCATTGTTCCCCCAATGTCATTCCAGTGTCCAACTGCCTCTTTTTGGTCACCAATATTACAAAAACATTTGACTGTCATTGCCACAGAGTAGCTTGAACACCTAGTGACACATATCCAGGCCTATGACCAAGGTCCACAGTCCGTCCTGCCCTACAGTCACCCAGCCCAATATCATTTTGGTTTATTGTCTGGTTTTGGGGGGGGTGGGGTTGAGCCACATTCAGCCATGTAGGCCTCATTCCTGGTAGGGCTCAAAGATCAGATGCAGTGCCAGAATTGGGGCGGGAATTGGCTGCCTGCCTTACCCCTGTGCTATCTCCCAGGCACCAGGCTCAGTGTCATTTGTGAAGAGCCTGAGACATCCTATCAGTTCATCTGTATTTTAGTGTGTGTATCTCTGAAAGATAAGAGCGCTGTCATACGGCCACCGTAACCGCGGCAGCGTGCCGCCCCTCAGAACGGGACGATGATTTCTCAAGCAGAGTTCTAATTTCCAGTTGCTGAGGCTCACAGATGTTTTAGTTCTCTGGGAGCTGCCAGTCTCTTCCTCCCCAGGCATCCCCTCCCAGTAGAAGTC